TTACCACCACTACCACCATCACCACTCTTACCACCACCATCAAACTCGCATCCCCACTACTACCACAACATCACGACCACTATCACCACACTACCACCATCAACCACACTACCACCATCAACCACCTCCACCAGCCCTCAAAGAACCAATAGCAGCAGGAGTAGGGAGGAGGGAGGGGGAAGGGGGGAAGGAAGAGGGAGAGAAGAGGGAGGAAGGAGGTAGAGAGAAGGGGAGGGAAGGAGGGAGGAATAGGGGCAGTGTCACCTCGGGCACTGGCCGTGAGTGACCAATAAAACAAAGAGTACTGTACGTCCAGCCATGACAGTGACGATGACTTTAACCAGGAAGGATGACATAAAATATTTAACTCCTCCTTCCCCAGCTTCCTTCCTTCCTCTCTCTCTCTCTACCTCCTTCACCTACCTCCTCCCTCCTTCTTCCCCCTCTACTTCCTTCTCCCTCCCTCTCTCCTCTTTCCTCCTTTACCCAGCCAAATATTCAATCAGCCACATTGTTTTTACCTGTGACTCAACAACTACCTGTAACTAATCACTCAGGTGATAATATGAATCTCAGGTGCACAAGACGGGAACCTCTCAATTAATATATTACTAACTGACGTGAAATAGTTATGTTATAGTGGTGTTATGTTATAGTGGTCATATTGTCAGGCGTTCATTAAAGAGTTTGTTTTTATTGTTAGCATTGTGTTTGTGTGCGTGTGTGTATGTGCGTATATGCGTGTGTGCGTATCTGTGTGTGCTGCAGGTAACGAGTAGGAAACAGAGATATGAAAATATTAAAACACTTCCATGATTGTCCACATCCTGAGGTGGACAAGTAGGAGGCAGCAGGTAGAGCCAAGGGTCTCCTGAGGATGTAAATAATCAAGGGAACGTTTATATATTTTCAAGTTTCTGTTTCCTTTGTCGTTACTCGCATGTTAATGAATTATTCCTCGTCTTGTGTGTGTGTGTGTGGGAGGTAGTGTGAGTGAGAGTGAGTGTGTGAGTGATTGTGAGTGCGTGATGTGAATAAGAATGTCAATTGCTCTGGGGTCCCAACACATGCTCACACAGCTCTAATATCAGACCGCTGCAACGACGGTATAGGCGGAAGAGGTGACCAACATGGGAACCCTATAGTGACGACCCCGGCGGATGAAGACAATGCAAGATGGACACTTCATGGACAGGCTACTAAGGCGAAACCCAACAAATTGAGCTATCCCTCCTCCTCCCTCTACCTACTTTCTCCTTCCTTCTCTAACTATTTCCTCTTTATCCATCCTTCTTCCTCCCCCTCCTCCCTCCTTCTCCCTCTACCTCCCCCTTCCTCTACCTCCTCCCTTCTTCTTCCTCTACCTCCTCCCTCCTTCTCCCTCTACCTCCTTCCCCTCTTCTCCAGTTGATCACGGCAAAATTCCACAATCGTCATGTAAATACAGGGTGAGGCAAAATGAATCCATAATATCCAGTTTTTATTTGGCCAAAAGAGGTGTTGCTTCCCATAGTTTTCCTTGAAGACCAACTGTTATTGAATAAAACTCATTCAAAGGTAATCAAGTTAATGATGCTGTACTAATTACTAAAATTCTCCCCTTAAACCTGTATAATACTAGCTCACTATTTAGTTTAATTACTTTGTTCCTTCCTCACCAAGATGCTAATTAGTTCACATATTAAGATATTATTAAGGCCTATGTGTAATGCTATTCACTTCACATAGACCTCAGTTAATCCACTGCCTTCATAATACAATAATTCCCCATCGCTGTAACAAAAATATCTTAATACTGTCAGAAATTCCTTTAAAAAATCCTAAACTATTAACTACATTCCTAATTTTGTTCTTAATCCTCTAATCACCAACATGGAGTTTCTATTACATACTATTATTATTTTTGACCTATCTTAAAAGTCCATCTAATTATACATAGTGAAATAGATTTTTTACTTAAACTAACAAAAATGAGTTCCGTCGATCAACCTAAATGGGATTCTAACATGACCCCAATATGGCATCCTGTCCCACCATTTCCAACCTTATTTTGACGTGTAATTGACCTTGAAAATCATCTAATAACAACTATCACTATGACGCAGCCTCCTGATGGGTTAACTAAAGCCATATACAGAACAAGTGTGTGATGTGGTAACTGTGGTAGGTCCATGCAGGTAACACAAGGTGAAACACAGACTAGTGCCACAGAAACACTCCACGTCTGCAGAGAGCAACAGAAGAACACTAGCAACGGAAGCAGCAACGGAAACGGATATAACAAACCTTTAGCAGCAACAGTAACAGATGCAAAAACAATTTCAGTAACAGATACAACAACAAACCCCTAACAACAACAACAGCGGAAGGAACAACAACCTCAGCAGCAGTAACATCCCCAGTAACAACAACCCAGCAACAACACAACAACCCCAGCAACAGTAACAACAACCCCAGAAACAGTAACAACAACCAGAAACAACAGAGGCGCAGCAGCAGGGACGGAGGCAGGTACAGGTGTGCGGGAGTGTAGCTTGAGCGCTTCGATGAGAACACCCACGTCGCCTGAAACAGTTGCTTTTTGTCTCGTGGTTAAATGAGTAATTCCCCCCCCCCCTCGTATATCAATGTCTTATAGGAAGAACATGCGGGCGGCTGTGGATAAGACCCTCCCTACCACACACACATATCTCCCTAACTCGTGACAAATTATGTAAACACGTCACAACAACTCGGCTGCCAAAAAATTCCACCGAGTTCTCATGGCTAGTTCCTCGACGCTGGGGAGCCGTTAATTGACAATTTTTCTTGTGGGAAAAAAAAAGTCTTATTACGAGGTTACTTCTTCAATTATAACAAGCAACGCCTACCGACCAGTGGGAGCGTCAAGCCTAAGTTCGATGGTCGCTTTGTGAGGTGTTGGATAAAAGATGACGACTCACTGTCACTTGGACGGCGGCGGGAGTGTCGCGACTACAGTAGTGCAGAAATGTGAGCGGACTGACATGTACGAGTATAAAGTGGGTAGTTTACAGCGTTCCCAGAAGTGCGTGTGTTGTGTGTGCTTGGGTGTGTGGGTGGGTGTGTGTGTGTGTGTGTGTGTGGGTGGGTGGGTGGAGTGGGTGTGTGTGGGTGGGTGTGTGTGTGTGGTGGGTATTGGGTGGTGAATTAAGTGTGGGTGGGTGTGTGTGTGGGTGGGTGGGTGTGGGTGGGCTGGTGGGTGGGTGGGTGGAGTGTGGGTGGGTGGTGGGTGGGTGGGTGTGGGTGGAGTGGGTGGGTGGGGGTGGGTGGGTGGGTGTGTGTGTGTGTGTGTGTGTGTATGTGGGTGAGTGTGAATATGTGTGTGTATTTGGGTGGTTGTGGGTGGGTGTTTATCCGCCACCCACAAGAAACGGTCGTCACCACCACTGCACCGCCCACCTTACACTCTCCGCTATCATTTTCGTAGCTGTCAATAGTCTCGTGGAATTGTCTGTCAGACTTACAGCCACCTCTTCGGTATATGAGAATCTTACCCACGAGACTCTTTAGCGAGATTTAAATCCTAACCTAACCACAAACCACCCAAAAATAACTGGTATAAAGCGACTTCGATTCGACACTGATGATAATGACCCAACCCTCAAACCTGACGTTACTACATTACTTGACACATAATAAACTACCATTGCTCCTCGTCCGCCAACACTAACTACCGCCCCTTGTAGGAAACTCTTGAAATTACCACCGGGAACACACGCCGGTCACATTGTCACAAGCTACGATTTGTATAATCATTTTCCAGCGACGAATGTTAGAGAGTTACTGACCTGCTTGAACGTAAAAAAATCTTCCAGTTCTATAATATTTGGTGTATAACGGGCCGAGAACTGTGGCTCCTTCACCGCTAAAACAGGTGACTTGGGTGTGGATCTGACTCATCTGTTACCCATCAATATCTAACCTGCACCATACAAAGTAATCAACACAACATCACCCCATTGTAGACTCGTTTTCTCTTACCTACGAACATCAACACAATCTCAAAGGTCAAACACTTCTAAATGACTGACTTGACGATGACTTAACCCATTTAGTATGATGAATTAACCCCTGAAGTATGATGACATCCTCTTCAGCATGATGAATTGACCCCTGAAATATAAAGCTTTATCCTCCCTCTATGAGTTTAAGGTGATGTCAAGGGAAAGCCAGGGAAAAAACATCAGAAAAATCAGGGAAATATTAAGGATATCAGAAGTCAAGGGAAAAATCAGGAAGTTATCACAAAACTGCGGAAAGGCTCAGCAATAAATAACTAAATAAATAAATTCCAGATTGATAAATAGTTTGGGAAATATTGTAGAAACATTGAGGGAAAACCAAGTAGTCTTTCTCACCTGTCGTACACTAAGCACACCTGAGTCAGTAAAATAGTCATTAATAAGTTAGAGATTAATTAGAGGCGGTTCAGAAAAATCTCATTAAAATAAAAAAAAATAATTAGTCGGCAAAAAGTAAAAAAAAAAAGTAAATGTAAAAGTTCTAAAAAAAATGTCAGTAAAAATAACAAAAGTTGACGCCACACAATATTGTACACACACACTACTTTGCCGTCACTCGGAATCTAGTATGACGATCATCCAGCTATGATACGAGTTATTAGGGATGTCACCTTCATTGGTGAGTTCTGAGATGACTAAAGAGGCCGATACGGGACCGGCAGGGTCGTTTACAGGTGTTGAACATGTGGAGGGCTACATCTAGTGCGGGAGGGGCGGCGGCAGCGTCTTTACGGCGCTGGCGCTTGTCTGCCTCGGTATGCAGTCGGGCTAATTCGAACGTATTGACACCTTCTTGTGTGGTACTCCTCCAAGCGTTACGGTGTGGAGTAATCGTCTCCCAGGTGAGGGGGTCGATTTGGCACTTTTTCAGGTTTGTCTTAAGACTATCCTTATACCTTTTCAGCTGGCAGCCAGCGTTACGTTTACACACACACACACACACACACACACACTCACCAATGCTAGGGTCAAAGGAGTCGATGGCATCTTGAAGGAGTATGGTATCCCCATCGAGGAGGTAAGCTGGGGCATCAAGGTCGACCTCAGCATGGGAGTCAGCCAGAGCCAGAGCGAAGGTCACCAGCCGTAGTTCCTGGGCCATGGGGCGTAGTGCTTGACCCACCGTATGTGCCCCCTCACCCACCACCTGCAGAAGGGAAGAGAGTATGTGATTAGTGTGTTATGTTAGGAGACTGATGACATTCTAAAACAATACACTAATACATTCTAAAATACACGAGTACATTGATACAAGACACGTGTAGTAACTAATAATAATACATTAATACAACAATACAACTCCATGAAATACAGGAACACAATGCTTCAGTGATACAATGTGTTACCATAGAAGCAGTGACAATGATACGTGGCAGGTGAATATAACAAAACAACGATACACGGTAACACATGACTACAGTTTAACCATGTAACCCTGTGATCTGATGACACTGGGAGACATTGCTACAGGAAAACAACACTACAGCGTCCTTGTTATCCCGTCATGAGGTCAGGTAAAACGAGTGTAGTGAGGCAACACCTACAGTATATACAATACCACGACGCCCAGGTACAATGATACAAGGATTACAGTGACAAGGATTACAGCCACCTGACACAACACCGATAAGAAATGCAAACCAAGAATTACAGCAATACAGTGAGACAACAAAAACAATGCCACCTTAATAGAATAACACGATAGAATTTTTATTTTTTACGTATGTTGTAACAGCGACGGATGATGACTTGGGGCAGCACGGGTTCAAGGTGACACGCAGAAGAGACCGCCGCCCTCGGTGATGTGGGAGGATAAAGGGGCCCTCCTAACCTGGTTTTACCCCTTGCCGCGTGTGGGAGGATGCAACAGCGTGGGAGATGCGGGGGATTCAGAGGACGTCCTGTGTGGAAAAGAGGTCCTTATACGTGGGAGAGAGTCTGGGATTATGGGGATGGGTGGAGGCTGTGTGTGTGTGTTTGGGAGGGGGCGTGGGAAGAAGCCTTAAAGACATGGGGATGGGAGGAGACAGCGTGGGAGATATATGGATGGGAGGAGGCTGTGTGAGGAAGGAGGGTCTTATACGTAGGAGGAAGCACGGAAGACTGCATAGAATACGTGAGGTTCAAGATGGACATCCTGTACGTATCATTGTTTACGTCAGTCCTCAGAACCTTCGTCGATCAAGATTCCTGCGTCGCTCAATTGGTTAATTGTTCCACTCATTCTCCCTGATTGGATAATTAGGTCAATGCTGTCCACCAATTAATCCAAAGTGTCGGTGTCGGAAGCCGATTGGTTCATATTACCGGTGTGGACAGCTGATTGCTTCATGAAGTATGTGGCGGCCACTGATTAGTTCACATTGATGGTATCGGCTGCTGATTGGTTCATATTATCCATGCTGGCCGCTGATTGGTCTAAAATGTTGCCGAGTGACCCAGGCATCAGATACACGAGGTCAGGATCCCCTAATTGGTGGAGGGCGTGGGAGGACAACTGGAAGGCGTGGAAGGACGGTCAGGGGGCGCAGGGGAGCTGTCAGTCTATTAATATCAAACTTCAAAGAAACTTTCATCACAACCCTCAGACCGTCGAGTGCTAACGACGGTCCTGGAGCTGTCGAAAAATCTCCAAGTGATTATCGACACATCACACATTAATTATCTACGTCGATGGCTTTACTATTTATATACTGTACTTAATAAGCAATGGTTATGAGCGACAGGTGTATTACGTTCTGTGTCGACGACCTCACTGTATATGATCAATAGGTATCTTACGTTCTCTTGGTTTTGTCGACCTCAATATGCATAATCGACGGGTGCCTTACGTTCACCGTGTCGTCGACCTCAATGCTTACATCACTAACTAGTTACACAGAGTCATCGCAAGAGGAGTGCCAAGGCCGGCCAGAGGCACCCGTCTGCATGACATTAACACACACACACACACACACACACACACACACACACACACACATATCACCAATAGGATTACACTTGAGGGAGGTCCTGCTAACTAATTGTGTCTTTTTCGATGTAGTGACCTTGACCTTTGACCTGCGGGTGTGTAAGGATCCAGCGGTAGTGTGTTTTATAACAGTAATGCCGCGAGGGAAGACAAGAGGACCCGCCTTCTGTCGCTCTACTGTACCTGGAATGGTAAATGTTCTTGCCGGGGATCTTGTGTCACTCCTGCTGGCGATCTTGCGCTACCACAGGTAACAGTACGCCACTTTGGACGATCATACGTCATATTTTCACTATAGTTACACACACACACACACACACACACACACACACACACATACATTACACACACACAGGTATGTACAGCATACTGCACACTTCAGTTGTAGCTAACATGATAGTACACAGACTGACGTCACACTTCACTATTTCAGTAGAGGCACAGATATACATACATATACATACGCTAACATATGTATAATGTACACGTATACTCCATTGTAACTCAACACAGGTAGTGAAAAATGAACGAGTTAAGACCATATGTACAAGGACCGGTATACACACAAACATGTGTACAGTACCTGTGTATGCAAATACACACACTCAGCCAGTAGTTGTCAACACACACGGAGAAGACCAATGTGTTAGTTAAGTAAGAGACCACAAGAGACAGTGGTGATGAGGGCGTATGTTATTATGTGGGCGGTGTGAGTGTGTGTGTGAATGAGTGAGTGAGTACGTGTGTGTGTGTGTGTGTGTGTGTGTGTGTGTGTGAGGGTTCGTGATCCAACAAAGCACTACCTTACGTGATAACGGTGTTGTAGTACAGTATCGCCAGGTGCCCCTTTCCCCCCGTCCCCACAGTCTAGGTACAATTAACTAATGCTGACCGACACACACACACACACCGTTATACACGTTGATATAACTCATTAGTGGGTGGAGATGTAATATAATTTTCAATTTGCCGTGACGTGTTTTTTGTTTTATTTTTTGCTTCGCGACAAAACCTCCCCCGTGATAGAGAACGTGATGCTATTTATAAAGCTCTTTGGTATTCGGCGTTAGGTTAGGTTTTTTCGCTGTTGTTACATCGTCCTCAGCCAGTCCTGATTATGGACTGTGAGGGAGGAAGGAAGAACGGAAGGAAGGAAGGACCCTGAGAACTGCCAGTCGTCCCGTCCTAAAACCCCTGAGATCATCCCATCTTAAAGACCCCTGAGAACTGCCAGTCGTCGCTTCCTAAAGACCCCTGAGAACTGCCAGTCGCCCCATCCTAAAGACCACTGAGAACTGCCAGTCGTCCCGTCCTAAAGACCACTGAGAACTGCCAGTCGTCCCGTCCTAAAAAACCCTGAGATCATCCGGTCCTAAAGACCCCTGAGAACTGCCAGTCGCCCTGTCCTAAAAAACCCTGAGATCATCCCGTCCTAAAAACCCCTGAGAACTGCCAGTCGTCGCGCCCCATACAATTATTAAGTGTTAATAGGAAGTTAATCTTAGGAGGGGTTTAAGCACACGCCTTGACCACACAAAGGACAAACATTAGAGTATATTGAAAATGACGGAGACGGAAGGAGGCCAAACCAGCAGTGTGTAGGAGACGACACGAAACAACCTGGACCAACAAGAGAGAAATTGGGACCTGGACCCTGAGTTCTACATACTACCACAAGCCAGGTCACTAACCCTAGCACTTTTCTACATACTACCACAAGCCAGGTCACTAACCCTAGCACTTTAACAAGCCAGGTCACTAACCATAGCACTACCACAAGCCAGGTCACTAACCCTAGCACTACCACAAGCCAGGTCACTTACCCCAGGCACCTCTACAAGCTAGTCTAGTGACCTTCATTAAGCCCACAAACAAGAACACTGAACCCATCACGCCCACAAACAAGAACACTGAACCCATCACGCCCACAAACAAGAACACTGAACCCATCACGCCCACAGAGAACACTGAACCCATCACGCCCACAAACAAGAACACTGAACCCATCACGCCAACAAACAAGAACATTGAACCCATCACGCCCACAGAGAACACTGAACCCATCACGCCCACAAACAAGAACACTGAACCCATCACGCCCACAAACAAGAACACTGAACCCATCACGCCCACAAACAAGAACACTGAACCCATCACGCCCACAAACAAGAACACTGAACCCATCACACCCACAAACAAGAACACTGAACCCATCACGCCCACAGTCACCGACACCTTCATACCTATAAACAAGAATATTGATTCCAGGACACCCACAAACAAAGCCATTGGAACTATTACACCCACAAAGAACAAGGAAACCCAATGCGCCCACAAACAAGGTAAATGACCCCCAGCACGCCCCCAGTACTCCCACGATCGTTTTCACTCGACCCAAAAATCAAGACTTGTACACCCACACCCTTGACTCATCTCCTGGCAGGACGAACTTGAAAAAAAAAAGAAAAAAGTTAAAAACAAGAGTAATAAGACTGGAGGCAGGCAGTAAGGGTAGTCCGTCAGCAAGGTTACAGCAGCGGCGTCAGCAAGAATGAATCTGTATAGGTTAGGTTAGGTTGTTACATTTTTACAAGTTGGTAATGATACAAGTTAGTACGCATTAAAGTTTCAGAAATTAATAGAAGCGGACGATAGCTTTGTTTTATCTTGATGTTGGAAAAGACATTTGAGTAACGCCACCATCACCTGTTAGGGATGTCTGCCTTATCTAGACCTCTCCCCGCCACTCAGTCTTCGACCAGCCTGACAAACAAGTATAAGGCAACAACAGCAGGTGAGTCATGAAGGATGGTGTCAGCGAGGGCGTGGTATCAGCGGATTTGTGGTGTCAGCAGCAACACAGGAAACAACCCCCGAGGCCAGGTATCAGGTGTCAGCCGGTCCACAAGCAGAGGCGAGACAACGAAGGTCAGTGCTCGTGACCCTAGTGTTTATGACGGTGTACAGCAGTCCAGGTACACTTCTGTCCAGGTCAACCTAATGGCGCCAGGTTATGACATGTTATGGCACCAGGTCATGACATGTTATGGCACCAGGTCATGACATGTTATGGCACCAGGTCATGACATGTTATGGCACCAGGTCATGACATGTTATGGCACCAAGTCATGACATGTTATGGCACCAGGTCATGACATGTTATGGCACCAGGTCATGACATGTTATGGCACCAGGTCATGACATGATATGGCGCCAGGTCATGACATGTTATGGCACCAGGTCATGACATGTTATGGCACCAGGTCATGACATGATATGGCGCCAGGTCATGACATGTTATGGCACCAGGTCATGACATGTTATGGCGCCAGGTCATGACATGTTATGGCACCAGGTCATGACATGTTATGGCACCAGGTCATGACATGTTATGGCACCAGGTCATGACATGTTATGGCGCCAGGTTATGACATGTTATGGCACCAGGTCATGACATGTTATGGCACCAGGTCATGACATGTTTCGGCACCAGGTCATGACATGTTACGGCACAGGTTATAACACCAGTTTAAGACACCAGATTATGACACCACCTTGACACCAGCAGGGAATTACTCAACCTAATACCTACATCCACATGAACTAACACCGTAAATTTCTACCGAAGTTCTGAGTCAATTCCCATCAATATCTCGCTTACGGTCAATACTCCCATGATAGTCGCCGTCACTACGTCTAGTTATCAGTACACCTGTTCCTCACACCTGTTCCCCACACCTGTTCCTCACACCTGTTCCTCACACCTGTTCCTCAACTTTTACTAAACTCTCTCAATAAACTTTCCGCCTCTGAACACGGAAAAAAGTATAAAAAAAAAATTCAATAAAATCCTGTCCCAACCGAGTCGATGTGTTTCTGGCAACATCCATCTAACTTGTTCTCAGGTGAGGGGGTGGGTGAGGGAGGAGGGGGTGAGGGAGGAGGGGGGAAGGGTGAGGTGGAGTGGATTGTGGATCAGGAGAGAGGAGGGATAAAGCAGTGCCAATGAGGAGAGGAAAGAGAGGAGAGAAAAGGAAAAAAAGTGAGCGAAGGAGGAGGAAAGATGAAAAGGAGAATCAAGAAGAAAGAGAGGTGCAAGCCATTTCTGCTTTTATTAAGTCCAAGAAAGTAATAAACAAAATTTGTGTCTCTACACTCACCCTCCTCACATACCTCCCTCTTCCCCCCTTCACTAAATAAGTTGTAACCTATTAAACATGACCAATACTGTTTCGTGTTGTTTTCATTATTTCTCTGGAGGCCAAGGATGAGATTGTGGGGGAACGAGAGATCTAAAAAGACTCATTTAAACAAGGTATGAATACTTTACTTTAGGACGTACAATAAGTAGGAACTATAAAATCAACAGAAAATAAAGACTAAATATATAATAATTATTTAGGTTTCTCTAATAAAAAACCCCTATATTACACCATTAAGTTTACGGATAATATAACAAGATCAAATCCCATATAAACACTGACTTTATGGCTATCACTATAAGACCAAATTTACATATCAACATTAACTCTATGACTGTTTTCACTTTAACCTAATAAATAATATATATGTAACCACTGAACTCCAAAAGGTCAAGTAAAATATATGACCACTGAATTTATGACCTAAGCAGAGCCAAATACAGCCAGCCACCGTGTATCAAGCTCTGTATCCCTGTACCGAGTAACAACTATAACATACCAGTTAAAACAACACCACCAACAACCACAACAACAAAATAATCACCTTTTTCTAAATACCCGTTGGCGGGTTGTAATTTCACTTCTCTCGTACGCAAACTTTAGATTCCTTTTATAATGATATGAATACAGCAACAATCTAATTTGATGGAGGGTCGATAGGGAAAGGTCGATTGCGGAGGGTCGACTGAAGTTGAGGAAGGGTCGAATGAGATTGGGGATGGTCGACTAGGGTGGGGGAGGGTCGATTGGGGTTAGGGAAGGGTCGAATGTAGTGAGGGAGGGTCGAGGAAGAGGGGAAGGTCGACTAGAGTGAGGGGAAGGTCGACCGGGGTTGAGGGAGGGGGTATCAGTATGAGTCATCCTGGTGATAAGGTGTTTTCAATGCTCACTTAATAACGAGCGAATATTTCCGACTGGAGAACAAAGAAACCCAAACATACCAGGTGCTTAATTACTTGTCTTCAGGTGTAGGTGAATGTAGTGTGAGTTTACAGGTGTGTAGATGACTGTCCAGGTGTACAGGTGTGTGTAGGTGGCGGTCCAGGTGTACAGGTGTGTAGGTGACGGTCCAGGTGTACAGGTGTGTAGGTGACGGCCCAGGTGTAAAGGGATGTGTAGGTGAGGACCCAGGTGTAAAGGGATGTGTAAGTGACGGTCCAGGTGTACAGGTGTGTAGGTGAGGACCCAGGTGTAAAGGGATGTGTAAGTGACGGTCCAGGTGTACAGGTGTGTGAAGGTAAGGACCCAGGTGTACAGGTGTGTAGGTGACGGTCTAAATCACACAATCCTCCTTTTACTGATGCTCTCTCTCTCTCTCTCTCTCCTACGAGCATCCCACATTACTTCTCCACAAAGTCAATTGGCTACCTTCACCCGACAGGTTCCCAGGCCACCTTACCTCCGTTAACTGAGTTGATGTCCTCCCTCTCTCTCTCTCTCTCTCTCTCCCTCCCTCTTACCTCCACCTGATCACCTTCAACCTCACACTCACCCCAGCTTTCCTCTCCCTCTCGCCCCCCAAACACACATCCTCCCCCTCCTCCTCCTCCCCATCGACCTGCTTCCCCCTCCCCATGTATAACAGGTCCTGCCCTCTACAGTCTGACCTGTAATCAATATTATATACTAAACAATGATATCATTTACCCACATGTAAAACCAAACCAAAAATAATATAAAAACAACAAAAATAATGACAACAACGACAATGGTGTGTGTGTGTGTTTTGTGTATTAATGCATGCGTATACGGTAAATTTGTATGTATGTATGTATGTATGTATGTATGTATGTATGTATGTAGTGTAGACCCCAACACCTCAGCTGGCTAGTAAGGGAATGAGCGGAGGTGAAGGTCGTTTGATAAGGTCGACTTGGCAGCTCCTCTCACCCCCACACCCGCTCCTGCCCTCCTTCTGCTTTCTGCTTCAGTGGGCCCCAGTTCTAATAGGCCCCAGTTCTAATAGGCCCCAGTTCTAATAGGCCCCAATTCTAATAGGCCCCAGTTCTAATGGGCCCCAGTTCTAATAGGCCCCAGTTCTAATGGGCCCCAGTTCTAATAGCCCCCATTCCTAAAAGGCCTCAATTCTAATAGGCCTCAGCTTAACTTCAATTTTATCCATTAGGGTCGTGAGCTCAGTCCTAATGGTCCGTAGTCCTATAGTGTGTGCGTGCGGTGTATAAGAACGAGCGTGTCGGGTATATGGGACAGTCTTTCACGCCCATAATAGTATGTGTGTGTGGGCGTTTATTAGGTGTAAGCATTTAAGTACAAACATTAATTGTGGGCGTGTATGGGCGTATGGTACACGAGTAATAACGTGTCGTGTTCATCAGTGTGTGGCCATGACAATATGGGTGGGAGGGCGGTGTGTGTGTGTTGGGTAATGCGTGTGGGCGTGGAGGGCGGATACATGCCTTTCTCAGCTCCGGGTGTCACGAGAGAGTCACAGGGCAAAGGGAAGAAAGTAGACGATTTCACTTGTCACAGGAGGGCGGAGGGGGGAGAGGGGTTGAAGGAGGGAGTAAGGAATGGGGAGGGAGGGGGGAGGGAGGAGGAGGGAGGGAAGGGTTGTAAAGATGGCGAAATACACAGGAAGCACACTCACACACACACACACACACACACACACACACACACACACACACACACACACACACACACACACACAAGTTTATATACCCAAGAGGCCAACTTTAGGGACCGTGTTCACCAGATCAATGCGTCATAACGAGAGGGAGGAAGACGCTTATCTACAGAATGGAAACCTACTTATCAACACCTTGGATAGCTGGTTCTCACCACACAACTTTCATGGGGACTGAGGAAGGAGGGAGAGGGAAAGAGGGGGGGGGGAAGGGAGAAGGAGAGGGGGAAATGGGAGAAAAGGAGGGAGGCAGGAGAGAGGGGGAAGGTAGGAAAGGGGAGAAAGAGGGTGGGAAAGTAAGGAGAGGGAGGTAGGAAAAGGGGCTAAGGGGTAGGTAGGAAATGGGGAGGAGGGGAAGGTAGGAAAGAAGAGGTAGGACAGGGATGGAAGGAGGGAGGAAGGGCTCAAATGGGAAAAGGAAAGGAAGGAAGTTAGTGATGAAATAGGGAGAGAAGGTGAACACAGGAAGAGGAAGGTGTTGAAATAGGTGAGGGGCGGGCA